CATCCATCAATCCATAAGTTTAGTACACCACTTAACTTAATATAAGTTTAGTGGTGTACAGTTAGCTGAAATGTAGTCTATCAACCTTGTCACTGAGTTTTTCTGCATTATTGCTAGTAGTTGGATTTTGCCTGGATTGCCCCAAATGTCACAGATGTTTTGCAAATGTGCTTGTGTCATCTTCATTTCTACTCAGTTGCTGTACAACAACAGTGAGCACAAGCATTTGTCAGAGTCATCAGAGTTAGATCAACTTCTCTTCCAGCTTGGGAGATCACTCATGTTGACTTGTCATGGCTATTTTGGTGAGAGCCCCCAACTGGGGCTCTGCACAATTCATAACCTTTATGCAGATTTCATGTCATTAAACTTTGTTTTTCCTCCTTTAGTTTTCTCACTTAGTTTTCAGACTGTTGTTTCAGATGAGGCTCTTTGATGCCTGAGGATAAAGTAGTAATACTGGATCATGCTGAAGATCGATTGATCTATCTATCTATTTTCAATGTTATGAAAAAGTCATAAAGTTTGGGGATGAAACTGGTTCACCTGTAAATAGATTTGTAGTTGTTTTTGTATTTGTTTGTAGAGAAAGAAATAATAAGGCTGTAAAAAATATTGTTTTACAGCCTCGAAACAGTGGACCATAAAATTTCAAGCATATATCACTGAACATTTGGAAGGTTTTGTTGTCTTCAGTGTCCTTTTCTAGGTAAATCTAAACTTTAATATAGTGGGAAAGGAAAAAATAGACTTCTATCCATCAATCCATCCACTCAGCCATCCATTGCAATCCATGAAAATGGCAATACTAACTACCTTTGGTGAAACAATTTTACTCATTTTGATGAGTGGAATAACATTATGTCTCAGCTTACATCAATTCCCAGTCAACTGCAGCTCTGATCTGCACTAATATTTACATTAGTACAGAATGTCATGTCAGAGCTGGCACTTGTAAAATTCCTCTGCTTTGTATCAGAGCTGAATACTTGAGTGTCTTTTTCCTGATGGAATGCAAAAGTCTGGGCTGTTTCTGTCCCCGATCACTAGCCACGGTCAGAGGTCTATTATCATGTCAAGCACAGCTTCTCCAGAGGGGGTGGGCGGGTGGTGGTTCAGACAGTTTACATGCACCCCTCTGTCATTTTGAATGCCTCTCCCTCGCTCCTTTCCATCTCTGTCTCTCCCGAGTTTTGAGCACATAGGCACTCGGCGATGATGGGTTTCTCAGATGGAATTAAAATGTCTCGTCCCACAGCTGTCACCCATGCAAATTGCATTGTCTACAGATTCTATCACAGAGAACAGCCAGCAATCTGTTTTCTTTGATGCCTTTCTTCTTATCATTTGTATTTTGTCCTGATGTCATTATCGTGACACTTCTGCTTCTCTCGTTAACGCTTCAGTCATATTTTAATCTTTCTTCCATTCTCTCTTTATTTTACTGCAGGTTTATCGCCACTCCTACATGGCCTCCTACAGCATCTACAATATTCACACTCGGTAAGTATTCCTTAGCTGTTACTGAGGGGCAACCTTTTTGATAGTAACACCTGTCATTAGTGGAAAAATATCCATGACTCACAGGGTTTGACAAATTTGTAGAACACAGGCATTTTTATATAAGCTATGTACAATGAATAGAGTACTGTGGGATCAATTTACATGCTGTGACACGCTTGAAACAAACTGTATGTCTGTTATTTGGATTGTTTGTCTTGTTCCAGATGTTAGCTGACTGAGATTAATAAACAAGCAGACCCAAGCTGCATTCTAAGGGCCCCACATGTTCAGGGGCACCTGCCTGCCTAGAATTTCCTCTTGTGCTATACTGGAGTTTATTTGCATGATTCTAAATCGTCTTTGTTTATCTTATACTGGGCCAGTGCGGGCCCAAAGTTCATCCAGTGGGGAGAGGGGTACACCAGAGAGCCACTTGTGAGACATCACACACAGCGGCGCATCTGGTGGAATCGCAATAATTGAGTTCATGCAATCAGCTCAGGCGAAGCTGAAACACAATGGAGTCATGTCCAATGTGTTTCAGGGGTTACAGTTGTTTTAGCTAGTCCAACAGGGTATACACAATATTAGACAGGTGCTTTCAGCATCGTGGCTGTCAGGGTATTGTTCACCTAGAATACATTTATTTTGTTGAATAATTAGCTGAGCAGAAATTCAAATCCATTGAATAATGGAAAGGCGTAAGCTGCCATTGCCAGTGTCCTCACTGCATAAGCTTTCCTTCCATGTGCTGTCAGCCTGTTGTGGGATGAAGAAGGATAGAAACAGGTCCTGAGCAGAAGCATACTGTTGGGGTGAATTGTTAAATGTTTGTCATTTTTATGTTTACCATTTGTACATAGTTTTAATTCTGTGAAAGGAATTCTTTCTGTCCTCCCCTCCCCAGATTCTCGAGGTTCTAGGTGGGGGGCTGTAGTCTTTTATCATCCTTGTGCTTTTGACGTCATCTCTCACATATGGTGGAGGTGATGTTATGTTGTTTGGCTGCCATACAAGTAAGCAAGGAACACTGGTGTTTGCATCACTGGTGTTTATTGATGATGTGAGTGCTGATAGAGGAGCTGAATGAATTCAGAAGTGCATGTGGCTGTACTCTCCACCCAGACTCAGCCTAATGTTGCAAACCTGCACAGAACTTCACAGTGCAAGTAGATACTACTGCTACCACTAATACTACTATTACTACCTGTTTAGATGTACAATTTAATGTTAATAATTAGTATGATTATCATTG